GATGCATTTTACTCCTTTGGTTACTCAGTTTACCCAACCATGAAATGGACTAAATAATAGCCACTTTCTAAAAATCACTGTAATATTTTTTTAAAATATTTTTTTAGTTGTAGATGGACACAATATCTTTATTTATTTATTTAGTTAGTTAGTTAGTTGTGGTGCTGAGGATCGAACCCAGTGCTTCACACATGCGAGGCAGCACTCTATCATGGAGCTACAAACCCAGCCCAGCATTGTAATACTTAATGTTGCTTAAACTCATGTGGCAATCCTGAGTAGGAGGGAACATCCTTCTATAATCAAAATATTTATTTATTTATTCATTTTTTACCAAGTAATCTTTAATCAACAGATCATCTTAAAAAAGCATGTGCTAGTAACAAAATGAAATTAAACCTCTGTCTCTCACCATGCACAAAACTCTCTCACCATGCACAAAACTCAACTCAAAGTAGATCAAGGACCTAGGAATTAAACCAGAGATCTTGCATGTAATGGAAGAAAAAGAAGGCCCAAATCTTCATCATGTTGGATTAGGCGCCAACTTCCTTAATAAGACTCCTATAGCGCAAGAATTAAAACCAAGAATCCATAATGGAATGGATTCAAACTGAAAAGCTTCTTCTCAGCAAAAAAACAATCAGTGAGGTAAATAGAGAGCCTACAGAATGGGAGCAAATCTTTACCATAAGCACATCAGATAGAAAACTAATCTCTAGGATATATAAAGCACTCAAAAACCTTAACACCAAAAAAACAAATAACCAAATCAATAAATGGGCCAAGGACCTGAACAGACACTTCTCAAATGAGGATATACAATCAATTAACAAACCTGAAAAAAATGTTCAACATCTCGAGCAATTAGAGAAATGCAAATCAAAACTACTCTAAGATTTCATCTCACTCCAGTCAGAATGGTAGCTATCAAGAATACAAACAACAACAATGAGTGTTGGCAAGAATGTGGGAAAAGGCACACTCATCCATTGCTGAGGGACTACAAATTGGTGCAGCCAATCTGGAAAGCAGTATGGAAATTCCTCAGAAAATTTGGAAGAGAACCACATTTCAGCTAGCCCACTCCTCCGTTTATACTTATAGATAACACTTAAAAACAGCATACTACAGGGACGCAGCCACATCAATGTTTATAGCAACACAATTCACAATAGCTAAACTGTGGAACCAACCCAGATGCCCTTCAGTAGATGAATGGATAAGGAAAATTTGGCATATATACACAATGGAACATTACTCAGCATTAGAATAAAATCATAGCATTTGCAGGTAAATGGATGGAGTTGGACAATATAATGCTAAGTGAAGTCAGCTAATCCCAAAAACCAAAGGCCGAATGTTTTCTTTGATTTGAGGATGCTAACTCATAATGGCAATGGAAGGGGAGCATGGGAAGAACAGAGGAACTTTAGACAAGGGAAAGGAAAGGGAGGGGAAGAGAAAGGGTAGAGGTGGGGAAGGGAAGGGGCATGGGGGTGAGGAAGGGAGGGGGCATGGGGGTAGGAAAAACGGTGAAATGAGTTAGACATCATTACCCTCAGTACATGTATGAAGACATGAATGGTGTAAAAATACTTTGTGTACAATCAGTGACTTGAAAAATTGTGCTCTATGTGTATAATATGAAATAAATTGCATTCTGCCATCATATATAACAAATTAGAATGAATAAATAATTTAATTTTTTAAAAAATCATGTGCTAGCCAGGTATGGTGGCACACAATTATAATCCCAGTGACTTGGGAGGCTGAGACAAAAGGATCATAAGCTTGAGGTCAATCTCAGCAATTTAGTGAGAATATGACTCAAAATAAATTTAAAAAGGGTTGAAGGTGTAGCTCAGTGGTAAAGTGCCCCTGGATTCAATCCTCGGTAGCAGTTTCAAAAAAAAAAATCATATGCTCAATATTATACAAATAGGTGGGCACAGTAACACAAAGGGTAATGTGCTATGTGCAAAAAGCAGGAGACCAGCCTATATAGACGCTAACTTCCCTGTGAGCACTTCCCGGTTTGAATTAATGCAAATTATATTACTCAACCCAGAGAGAAAGATACATGAATCAGACCCATAGAAGTATAAAAAGGAAGTTTCTCTTTTCTTACTCAGATCACAATTGTTAAGTGAGATAATAAAAGCAAATAAGGAAATAAATAATCTGGGGAAATTCTACTTCAATGTAGTATTTTTTTTTTTAAGAGTGTCTCACTGTGTTTCCTGGCTGGCCTCAATTCCTGGGCTCAAGTAAGTCTACCTGCCTCCACCTTCCTTGCAGCTGAGACTATAGGTGTGTACCATTGCACTTGGCTCGGGTAATTTTTAAACAACAGCTAAGTATAGAAGTTGTACCCTGCAGAAGAAATTCACTGTTTTTAACAGGGGAGGCATCTTTCATGGCCATAGACATTAAAAATTAATTTTCATATTAATTGGCACCAATCTGAAAAATATGCATATTTTGGGAAAGCTTAAAAGCTGGTATTTTAGTGGTACACGCCTGTAATCCTTGTGGCTTGGGAGGCTGACTCAGGAGGATTGCAAGTTCAAAGCCAACCTCAGCAACTGCAAGGCACTAAGCAACTCAGTGAGACCCTGTCTCTAAATAAAATACAAAAATAGGTCTGGGGATGTGGCTCAGTGATCGAGTGCCCCTGACTTCAATTCTGCTAACCCCCCCTCCCAAAAAAAAAAGCTGGTACTTTCCCTTCTTCTGTGTCAAAGTAAGACCAGAGGAAGTTAGTCCAGAAGATCTGGCATAACCAGGAATTATTTAGATAACGACATTAAATAAAGTTGCCAGAAAAATTTCACATTTAAATAAGTATTTAATAACCAACATGATTTTTAGGAAAGGTTCTTCATTCCCAGAGTAGATTTAGTTAAGTCAAATTAGGGTGACACAAGAGCAACGCTGCAGTGGACAAGAGAGCTGTGACGTGAGGGGCTTAGTAGAACACAGGGATGAGCGCTGTGGCGCACACCTGTACTCCCTGTGGCTCAGGAGGCTGAGGCAGGAAGATCACCAGTTCAGGCCAGCCTCAGCAACATGTAAGAAACTAAGCAACTTTGTGAGACCCTGTCTTAAAAATAAAGGGCTGGAGATACAGCTCAAGAATAAAGCACCTGTGGGTTCAATCCCTAGTACACTAATAATCCTAGTATGGATAAGGTCAATTACTGTCAAAGATCTAGAACTTCAAGGAACATTCTCAAAATCTACTGACCTAACACTAGTAGCAAACCTGGCCACCAGCCCAACTCTGCATTGCCAAAACAGGGCAGGGTCAAAATTGGAGTATTCCAATTCTTTAATAATGTCAAAAAATATAAGTAGAGCTACCAAATAATGCTCAGCACATAATGGGCACTGAAATGGTAGCTATAACCACTGGTAGGATGAATTGTACTTGGAATGAGTGACTGCCATTTCACTGAGCCCTAGTACTTAGAGAAGGAAGAATGCCATCCAGGGTGTTATCCTGATAGAAAGCAGGAAAAACAACAGTTGTCTTTTTATTTTTAAACAAACACATGGCATTTACTAAGGGCCAGGCATGTTTATAACTTTTATAAATATTAACAAATTTAAGCCTCACAACATACTCATGACATAAATGCCATTATTATACATGTTTTACAAATGAGGAAACTGAGGCAGACACAACAGGTAAATAACCAAGGTCACATGGCTAATAATAAGTCACAGGGTCGAGACTCAAACTCTGACTTCAGAGTTAAACCCTTATTTAGTAATAAAAAAAGATTGGAAAGTCACGTAATTACAGAGCAAAAAGAAACCCCAATATTCAAGGAGACCAGGCCCTGCATTTTAAAGATGAAACATAAAGGGGGGAAGCCAAAAGCAGGCAGAAAATTAAAGCCCTATGCCAAGAATTACACAGCAGTTTCTAATATCCCGCCCTCTCCTAAACTCTAAGAGGCGCCAGTACAAACACACACACACACTCTCTCTCTCTCTCTCTCTCTCTCTCTCTCTCTCTCTCTCTCTCTCTCTCAGAACCTGGAATGGGCGCCTGAGCCCATTTTTCTTTTTAAGGCACATTCTGGCTCTCCGTGTGAGTAACACCCCTAGGAATGGATCCTGTGTCTTCCACCTCTGCATCACCTCCTGATATGACACCCAAACAGGGGCAGCAGTGTCACACTGACAGGCGAAGCTAAGGGGGCAGGGATGCAGGTGATGTGCAGGTGAGAGACCAAGATGAAAGGTTCTTCCCACTCCAGGTGTTCTCACTGCCTGCCCACCTTCACACACACACACACACACACACACAGGCACACACATGCACAAAGTCTCTCTGTGAAAAGCTTCCAGAATAAAAGGAATCTGAATTTACCCTTCTGGTCATCTAGAAAATAAGTCAAGGGAGAGATAAGCTGAGAGAAAATTTAAGGTCACGGATCCTTCTGCTGAGAGGCAGGCTGAGTGTAATTTAAAGTTCAGCTTCAGTGCCTTCTCAATGCCCTTGACCTTCCCCCAAACCAGATCAGGTTTGTCTTTTTGAACTCAGCCTTCACTCTGGTTAATGCAAGGTGGATTAATCTGTGCCATGGCAATGATGGCTGACCTTTTCTTTCAGATTATCCAAGATTAAGAACCAAGTAGAAAACAGTTTTTTTCTTTACAAAGTCATTTTTTTCCCACAGGTAACCAGAAAATGCAGAGATATTTATCAAAATTGAAGCGTACTTTAAATAACACTTCCTTACAAAGTATTCCCTAGATACTGCCCAAAAGAGCAGCAAATCAGCCCCTCTATGAATCTTCCCTGACCTTGATGACCTTAAAACAAGATTACTCAAGCAATATTTTATTCTCAAACAAACATTATCCAATTACTTGGAAGCAAGTTACACCTTACCCACCTTTTCTAAGGTAAAATCCAATTGTTGGCTCTTGAGTCCAAAAGTCTTTCAAACGCCCATAATTCAACTATTTTTCCTCATCCTTACCTCAGTACAGTGTTGGCACCTGGACTTCTTGAAGGTGGCCCCGTGCACACAGGCCTGCAGCTGGACTCCGGAGTCTGTGAGGGCCGAATGGCTTGGTCCTGCTGGGCTTTCTAGGGAAGTGTGAATGGGGCGAGGATCCCCAGCTAGAAGTAATGGGAGCAAACATGGTAATTATCAGAAAGGAAACTTGATGATGCATTTTCTAATATTAGGCTCACTCTGAAAGCCATATAATTTTAGCCCAAGGCCAAAATAAGGGATCTGAGGAAGGACTCAAACACGGACCACAGAATGTAGCTCTGTCATCTGACTGGAGACCTCTGGCAGCCCACTCAACATTCCCAACTCAGATGGTCACACTCAGGATCGGTCCTCAGGGATCCTGGTCATCTCCAGGCATCCTCTGAACCGTCCCTGGAAGCGGGAGTCTAAGTAACAGGTTCTGAACACCAAGGGAAACAATTCACCCCACCTGCACCCCCACCTGTGGTTCAAAGAGGAGACAAAATACAGACATCAAGTCCCTCTCACATAACCTGTGCAGACACAGGCCGACCCAAACCAGAGCTGACTCCCAGATAAGCAGACATGGGATCTTCAGGCCACAGATGACGTAAGATTGAAAAAAAAAAATCTTCAGATTCCCTACTTCCTCCCCAGATGTTTCTCTGGCCCAATCAGGCCTCAAAATGAACATGAACCAGTGTACAGGTATGTCATCCTCACGTGACAGCACTGCAACCCTGGGCATCATCACCAGCCAACACCACCAACAGATTGCTACCTCGGGCTCGGGCTCATAAACAGCTAAACCAGCTGTCTTCCTCAGGAAATTCCTGCAAGCCAACAAGCTCAATCCTAGCTCATCCCTCGCTCCTCAAGTGGTTTTGAGAGAATGTCTTCCTCTCATCATTTTTCTAAGGAACAGACTTAAGTATGCCCTGACAGGAGATGATGTAATGCTGGATTTGGGGACCCCAAAAGACCACCAGGAGCCGAATCCGATGCAATCACACAAGAGTCTTTATTGCAAGCTCCAGCCTGGGCTCACAACCGTTTCCAACGCAGCGGTCCCAGGGAGTGAGTCCCGATCCTTTGTTCAGGGAGATTTTATAGGTTTGGGGGGATACTCTATGTGTCACATCACACAGCGGGAAAATCAAACAACAACTCTTAACATTGATTAGCACATTCACTGGTGGGAACAAGTGATTGGTTATGTTTGAGCTCCTGGTTTAACCCAGGAGTGATTGGTTAGTTATGTTTGAACTGATTGGTTTAAGCCCCGGGGGTTGCAAGGCTGTACGTGCTAATTTATACGGTTTCCTAACATGGTATCCATCACCAAGACTACTGGAGGGGTCGCCTGGCCTTCCAGGTATCTTCCCTGTCTCATGCTGATTGGTTGTTGCTAGGGGGTTGCTATGGGTCATCACGGTCTTAGGTCTCAAACATTCTTTGGTCTTTCCAGGAACTAGTATTGCTGAGTCAGAGACACCTGGTGCCACAGATCTCTCCTATTATTTATAGACAAACAACTCAGCAGGGTAGTTACGTGCCTAGGAACGCTCTGTGGGTTTTCCAAGAACAAGGGTCACCCCCCCCGCCCCCCACCTTTGGACAGGCTTTGAACTGAGATAGAGGCTGGTTTCTCATAAATGGAGTGACATCAATTTCTCAGTTTCCTCTCATTCTATCATCTAAGACTGATCCATTCTTCTTGTGTCTTCTCATCATTATCACAGTTGATATTTTATTTACTGAGCAATAGACATGGGGTTAACGTCTGTAACATCTCATTCAAACCTTACAGCAAAACCATTAGTGGATCCTGTTACCATAAGCCCCATTTTACAAACGAGGAAATAGAGGAGTGAAGCAACTTCCCCAAGGTTACACAGCTTACAGTAAGCAGTGAGTTAAGGTTCAAATCTAGGTTATCATTCTCTAGAACCTGTGTTTAAAAAACATTCATTGACATAATACACACGCCACAGAATTCACCAATTTCAAATGTACGATTCTATAGTTTTTAGCATGTTCATAGTTGTATAAGCATCACAACCAATTTTAGAACATTTTCATCAACCACCAAAAACCCACACCCATTAGAAGTCACTCTCCCTTCCTATCTATACCCTCCACCCTCTAGGCAATTACCGATCTCTTCTCTGGAATTAGATCTTGTCTTTTGTGACTGGTTTATTCTACTCAGCATAGTTTTCAAGGTCCCCCCACATGCTGTAGTACGTGTCAGTTTTTCACTTTTTCCTTGCCGAATAATATTCCATTGCTGGATAAGACATAGTTTACTTATCTATTCATTACACTTTGGGGTTGTTTCCATTTTGTTGGCTACTGAAAACAGAGCTGCTACAAACAAATTTCTGTTTGAACAGCTGTTTTCAATTCTTTTGAATAAACACCTGAGAGTGGAATACTTGAATCATAGGATAATTCTGTTAAACTGTTTGAGGAAGTGACATGCTATTTTCCAAAGCTACGCTTTTTTTTTTTTTTAAAGACAGAATCTCACTTGCCCAGGCTTTTCTCCAACTAGTGCACTCAAGTGATCCTCCAGCCGCAGCCTCCCAATACTGTTCTTGCCACATCCTCGCCAACATTTATTGTCTTTTTGATTATAGTCATCCTAGTGCTTATACAGTAGACTCTCACTGTGGTTTTGATTTGCATTTCCCTGATGGCTAATAATATTAAGCAACTTTTCATGTGCTTATTATCTGTATGCTTTTTTTAGAGAAATGGCTGATCAAACTTTTCCTCCATACTATGATGGGGTGATTTATTGTCTTATTCTTGAGTTGTGAGAGTTCTTTATATATTCTGGATACAAGTTCCTTGTCAGATATATAGTTTCCAAATATTTTCTCCCATTCTATGGGTTATTTTTTCACTTAATGCTGTCCTTTGAAGCTTATAAATTTTTAATTTTGATAAGTCTAATTAATCTATTACTTTTGGTTTCATATCTAAGAAATCATTGTCTAATCCAAGATTATTTTAAAACTTACTTTTATGTTTTTTCTATGAATTTCACAGTTTAGTCTATGATCAATCTTGAATTAATTTCTTATTTGGTGTGAGGAAGGGATCCAACTTCATTCTTTTTCATGTGAATAACCAGATGCCTCTGCATCATTTGTTAAAAAGATTCTTCCTTCCCTATTGATATGTCTTGCTACTCTGTTTAAAATCAATTGACCAGAACTGTAACCGAACCTACACTTTTTTGTTTTTTGGGGTTTTTTTAAACAGTGCCAGGGATTAAAACCAGGGGCACTCTCTCACTGAGCCACGTCCCCAGCCCTGTCTAGCTTTTATTTTGAGATAGGGCCTTGCTGAGTTACTCAGGCTGGCCTAAACTCTCCATCCTCCTGCCTCAGCCTGCCAAGCTGCTGTGACTAGAGGTGTGGGCCATGGTGCTGGGCTCTAGGGCTGACACTGTTAACCAGTGTGTTCCGCTGTCATCACCCCTAGACTGCTATTTAAACAAAGAGCACAAAATGCTCTACAGCTGTTCCCTCTAGTCAGCTGGACTCTCACCTCCCATCATACGCCTTTTTGTACGTGTTTTCATACCATGAATATGTTATTTTTATAAAAGTTGGTTTTTTTAAAAATTTTGTATTTGTGTATGGACAGCATGCCTTTATTTTAATTGTTTATGTGGTGCTGAGGATTGAATCCAATGCCTCACACATACTAGGCAAGCGCTCTGCCACTGAGCTACAGCCCTAGCCCTATAAAAGTGGTTTTTAAAAAGGCGTGGCCCCAAGGATATTCATGTATATGTATAGTTTTAAAACTCTGTTATTATACAAAGTCAAGCGACAAGATCAACAATTAAGATGCTAATTTGGGGGGGGGGCTGGGGATGTGGCTCAAGCGGTAGCGTGCTCTCCTGGCATGCGTGCGGCCCGGGTTCAATCCTCAGCACCACATACAAACAAAGATGTTGTGTCCGCCGAAAACTAAAAAATAAATATTAAAAAAATTCTCTCTCTCTCTCTCTCTCTCTCTCTCACTCTCTTAAAAAAAAGATGCTAATTTTTTTATAAACCTGATATTCAAATGTTATGAATACCTAAAGTATAAGTAGGAAAGTGAAAAGGGACACAGAGGTTCTCTTAATGTTGAGATATGGGTGTTCTGGTACAAATTTGTGCCCCCTCTGTTCATATGTAGAAATCTTAGCTTCCAAGGTGGCATTAGGAGGCAGGGCCTCTGGGAGGTGTTTAGGAGTCTCTCAAGGGCGTTAGTGCAATGATACAAGAGACCTCCCAGGGCCTCTGTCCATTCCACCATGTGAGGACAAAGAAAGAAGGAAATGGGCCCTCACCAGACAGAATCTGCTGGGACCTTGTTCTTGGACTTCCTCGCCTTCAGAACTGTGAGGCATAAATGTCTTTATTTACAAGCCATCAGTTTACAGTATTTTGTTAGCAATCTGAAATAATATGGCTTCTTCTTAAGGAAAAACTAAAGCCTGTGCCATTTAATTACAGGATACCAAGAGAGCAACTTAATAAGTTATTATTATTATTGTTTTGTTTTTTGAGACAGTGTCTCACTGTACTGCTGAAGCTGGCCTCTAATTCAAAATCCTCCTGCCTCAGCCTCCCATGCAGTTGAGATCACAGGTACTCAGCACTGCACTGGCCAAAATGGAATTTTATATTTGCTGCAGACCAGACTGTAGCTATAGATAGTATCTGCCTTCAGTAAGCCAGTGGCTGAGGAATACCTCTCACCCTTTATATCAGGATCAACTTGGCTTCCTAGGTCTCAGCGTTGACCTATTCAATCAGAATTGCAAAGCATGGCCCCAAGGATAAATATTTATACATATGTATGCATGGGGACACATATGCATGTATTTCAAACATCCACTGGTAACTCATGCACACTCTTAAGGATTATTAGGCTAAAAATAATATGACATGTGACTAATATGACACCAATGACGTCAAAAATTTTAAACACTGGTGTTCATTTTCTCTCTTCCATTTTTCTTATTTTAGAAGGCAATGTAGAATTAGGGAAATGCAAATCAAAACTACACTGAGGTCTCGCTCACTTCAGTCAGAAAGGCAGCCATTGAGAACACAAACAATAATAAATG